GATCGAGCAGATTTCCCCACGATGCAGTCACAAGTCTCTCTTTTTTTCCCCCCCTTGTGACATACAGTGTGGTTTTTACCTCCTCGTGTCTCTACGAATCATTCAAATTAATCGGAGAAGGGAAATTCACTCTTGGATTCAACCGCTCACGGGTCATAAACACACACACACACCCTGTGACGACAACATCTAAGTAGACATGGCTTTGTATTAGGGGGTCACAAGAGGAAGGGGGGAAGGGAGTTTGGAACCACTGCTCTAAAACACACAACCCAGCTTTCGGTCTTTGACTGCAAAATAATAAAAAAAAAAAAAAAAGGGGGCCTACCTTACCAGGCCTTTGGTGATTCCTAAACCCTTGATCAAGTCCATCTCATGGTGCTTTTGGGCATCAGATAAGATGTGTGCCAACATGCCTCTGCTGAAGCAAAGAGTATAAATGTGAGTGATGTTTAACTCAAGGTTGGGTGTGACAGCACATGGTAGACAAATGCAGACTGAATCATAAAAATAAGGCAGAAGGTTAGGTCTCGGGCACACCACCGTTTATAATTTTAGACAGAAATCTATTCATTTCTGCAGAATCACTATGATAAGGCTTCAACCTCCTTCAATTTTGAAACTGTAAACTTGGGCCAATTCATTTAATGTTACAACAGCAGAACACCCAAATTGACTCAACAATTTCACAACTTACAGCCGCTACAAAGGAATGCACTGAAATACAGTCAACGCAAGCAAATACATAAACACACCCTCTGTAGCACTAGTAGGCCTGTCAGCTTGCAACACAAGTCCCACAAGTGCCATCTGCAGTGTGGGACTAGACCAATCGTTCTCAAAGTTTTTCTAGCCATCATTAACAATGATAGGGGAACCATTTTCAGGCTGGTAAATTCAACATCTCTCTATGCACGTCACTGCATGTTACAGTTTAAGGTGGTGCACAGGGCTCATATATCTAAAGTCAAATTATCTCGTATGTACTCAGATGTTGTAAATGTAAGAGAGGTGAGGCTTCACTTATTCACATGTTCTGGACTTGTCCCAGTCTGGAAAGATACTGGAGAGATGTTTTCCAAACCTTGTCCCTCATTCTTAATCTAGAGCTAGAGCCCAACCCACTGATTGCCCTTTTTGGCACCACTGGTGTGGATGACATGCGCCTAACTCCAACCAAAAGTCACACACTGTCCTTCGCTTCTCTTTTGGCTAGGCGAGCAGTACTACTAAGATGGAGGGATGCTGCTCCGCCCACACACGCTCAGTGGCTTAGGGACATGTTGTACTGTCTAGACCTTGAAAAGATCCACTACTCAGTTTGTAATTCAGGTGGGAAGTTTCAGAGGGTGTGTGGACCCTTTCTGAAATATTTTGAGAGTCTTCAGTCAAACTGAAGGATTTTCCTTTCCTTTGTTTTGCATCTTTGCTTGTCTCTCTGTCAGTTACCTAGTCTGTATCAGTTAATGTCTAAATATGCCTTCTTCTACTCATCTATCTATTTCTTTATCTATTCATTTTGTTTTTTTAATTAATCTATTTTTAATTTTTAGTATTTACTTATCTTGCAATTTAATACTTGACTTCCAGCGGTTTCCTACAATACTCCAGGAACAATACTCCGTAGGAAATATGGTTTGTAGATGTGGCTAGTGGGAGTGGAGGGGTGTTTGTGTTTTATCACTTTGAAAAAAAAAAATTACATTGTATGAACATTTCTGTTTTTGTGATTAAAATTAATAAAAACATCTGAGAGAAAAACAATGATAAGATAAGATAAGATAAGCTTATTCCTTTATTTATCAGGTTCAGGTTGACACCAGCAGCAATAGGGCAAAGTAGTGCAAAAACAGAGAACAAAGAATATCACAATAAAATATTCTAAAATATTAGAAGATATTAGAAGATATAAAACTATAAAGAAAAGTATAAAAAGTATATACACTATGCATTGTTAAAAGTATATACACTATGCATTGTTTAAAGTAGGACATGGAGTGCAAAATATAAGCAGAAAATTAAACTGGACTAAAACTAAAAAAACTGAAACTAAACTAAAACTACTAAACTACTAAAGTGGAAAATTAAATATAAATAGTGCAAAAGGCTTGTGCGTTGCAGGTAGGAGTTTTAAAACCAGTCTTTGGTCTGCGGGGGTTTGAGGAACTGGGTGCTGTTGCGCTGTGGAGTCTGATGGCTGATGGTAAAAACGAGCTCCCCAAAACCGCTTTGAGGCTCGGGGCTGGGTCAGTCTTGTAGCTGAAAGTGCTCTTTGAGCTGCCTCAGCTCAGTGTAGAGAGGATGAGAGGGGTTGTCCATGATGGCTTTCAGCTTCCCTCTCATCCTCTTTTCAGTCACAGCCTCCACAACTGTCCAGCTCCATCCCGCCACCGAGCTGGCCTTCCTCAACCAGCTGCTAAGCTTGTTGGCACCCCCAGTGGGGAACCAAAACTATTAAAAAAGGAAGTTTTAGTAAAAACCAGGGCAGCAGGATAGCATCATCTTGTTTGTTTATTTTCCCTACATAAATCAAATTTCATTCTACTCCTTATAGGCCTGTACTTTTTGTGTGGCCTGCCCTTCAATCTGAGAACCACTGGACTTGATTAAACTGTCAGACTGATGTACAGAGACAGAAAAAGAGACTTTTTAGGTTGCTATTTTTCTTATCCCACACGGAAATACTACATTCTCATTTATTCTATTGGCTGCTGATTAAATAAAGTTACTGAAAATGCACGGCATAAACAGCATCCTAACATCCTGTAGACAAATGCTATGTCACTGTTGTGCCACAGTTACTGTTGATAGATAAAGTGTTCAGAAATGTCACATGACATGTACTGAGTTACAGGATGTTTTAGTTTCTGAGGTTAGCTTTGGTCGACTTATCTGCCAGTCATGGGTTCAGGACAGCATGCTTTGTGGTTGGCAGCTAGCTCCTGATTTGAAGCTTACTGTTTTTGTTTTCTAACTTGTTGTGAAGCACACGACTTTCACAGGGAAGGGTGTCTCCTCACTATACTTCTGCTTTTAGTCCAATCTATTCTTTTGTTAACCACGGGTTGTAAAAAGCCTCATCTTGGCACAGTTATTTTATGAGCAGCTTGCTCTGTATTGAACTGCAACACTTATCCAGCTCTTAGAACTGTGTTGTCTGTTCACATTTCCTAAATGCTCGCTTCCCCTAACTGCCATAATTTGTGGTTAGTTATGTTATTGTCCTTTTTAGGCGTTTGGATGTTGGCAGAATGGCCTGTAGGCATCATTAGAG